CGCTACCGACGCTCCTCCTCGGCGTCGCCGTTGGTAAGCGGCAATGATGTACGAAGCATGGCTCTTATTGATCGGGAAGTGGATTGTGCCTGAAACTCTGCCAATTTACAAGATAACCCGGCGGATGAATCGGGGGTGTTCTCTGAAGCCAACCGATTCGGTCATTGTACCAGAATAGCCGAAGCAGAAACAGTTTCTCGGCGCTCCCACGAGCGGCTTCAATACTCGCGAGCTGCTGAGGCATCGTGTTCTACACGCACACCTACGACTTTAGATAATGAGTTTTGGATGAATCCAATCTGAGATGGGTCAAACGTCACAACAGCACGATTTGACCGCTTGTGCCCCTTACACCTAAACTACAAGTAGTCGAGCAACGAATACCGCGAGACCGTCCAGCTCCGAGGCGTGAGTACATATGTGCGTGCCTCTTGTTTGTGTCTTTGCACATTTGGAGCAAGCTTCAAGGTTCGTGAGATTATCGCGTCGTCTGACTGTTGCCGGAGCAGGTCAGTCCGATGATCCATCTTACCTCGGGTGCTTCTCGGATCCTGCTGAGAACCGCGTCTTCGAATGGCAGTCTTCTACCTCTGCTATGACCGCAGACGTGAGCGATCGATCGATGATGGGCGGACGCACGCCAGGATATTTGTGTTTACTTGGTTGCGTTGTGTTGTCGGCACGAAGGGGTCTGCGTGCGAGTTGCATTGCGCTGTCGGCACGATGGGGTCTGCGTGCGAGTTGAAGCATACTCTTGTTGACCTGCTCACGGCAGTTGGTGCTGCTCATGTCGTCAGGGAATCACACAGGTGTCATCCACGCTTTCAAAGTAGCTTTGTGACCCCCGAAGCCTAATGACACATCCAGTGCGGCCATGGCGGTTTCCGCGGACGTGCCCACCATTCCTTCACGCGCCCCCTTATACTGACCATCGACGGCTTTGCACGCATTCATGCAATACTTCGACCCCAGGTGTGTTCGGAGCTCTGCTCTGGGTCGGACTTCTATGGGACCCAGTATTCGACAGAGGTAAGAATATTCAATTTGAAAACAAAGGGATCATTACCATGTGCCGATCAACAGAGAAGGCGACGAACGGCATCGTGATCGCGGAAAATAGTGAAAGACGGTTCAGTGATTCGGGGATGGAGGTTGCGGGACCAAAAAATGCATAGTCGAGCCTTGGGGCATCATGCCTTCTTTGTGCCACGGAACAAGGACAACCTGCGAGGCCAAAAGGATTGGCAGGTCCCCGGTGTACAATATTTTGACTGATGGTTTGTTGCTTGATCTCCTGAAGTGCTACACAAGCGAGGTTATTATTAACAGTGATTGTGGTTTCATCTTCTACCGGACTCAGTGATCGCACAGCATCACGCCTTGATCTATTCGGAACGGTCGACTCGCGATCGGGGGCAACTGATGACAGCATCCTTCGCGAATCGAGATGCTGTGTGGTCCTCCGTGTTTGATTCTCTCTTCTCCTCGGCGGACCGTGGTTCGACGCCACTACCACCGCTACGATTGCTTTCCTCACCCCACTCTCCGTAGCGACAAACATCGCACGCCGCTCTCGCAACCACGACGCTCCTCCACACCTTTGACGCCACCACCAAAATCATTCCGAACGTACGTCGTTCGTTTCAATTCAACAAGTGCTGGTGCGGTGACAACGTCGGATACGCCATCAATGGCCCCGGCGACTGCGCCATGCCCTGCTCCGGCAACTCTGACGAGATCTGTGGCGGGTCGTACGCTCTCTCCGTCTACTCGAACGACCCCGACTACCTTGGGTGCTGGAGCGATCCCCACTCGGCGGAAACGCGGCTGTTTCCCATCCTGATCGACACATCGGACGACATGACTACTGCGGTGAGCGACCGGCACATGTGTGCAGCAGGCTAGAGACTGATCGTCGTACAACGCGCCCAGTAGTTGGGTTCGGGGTCCGTCATTGTGCATTGTGTACATTTTCCTTACTCCCTGAGGCTACCGTGATGTGCCGCATATTGGCGTCAATCCGTACTTGGGGCGTGAAGAGCCGAAGACTACATTAGGGACTCCAAAAGGGTAAGCAGCTCTCGACCTCGCCAGCCCATCCGACAGAATGACCAATAATGAGGCCAGGAAATTTTGATGGCGTCGCGTGCTGCGGTCGCGGACGGGGATTGAGGAATGATCGACAACCTCCTTCGTTACGAGCAGTCGGATCGAGTTGCTCTCTTCCAAACCGCTAATGTAACAAGTGGTGGGTTCGTTTATCCAACAAACGAAGTTTGTCAATCCGTCGCCCTTCAACGCTAGCAGCTACGTACGGGGTGTTCTATGACGTCAACATCTCAGCACAACACGAATTGCATGAGNCAGGTTGGTCAATCTGTCGCCCTTCACCAATAGCAGCTACGTACGGGGTGTTCTATAACGTCAACATCTCAGCACAACACGAATTGCATGAGTCGACTACTACATGGTCGAATTGACCTGTGCGCCACGGCTGATGGACACATACTTCCAATCGATGCGCTACTTGACGTCCGGCTGTATTCCACGCTGCAGGTCTGCGAAGGCCTCTGCGCCAATTATGCGTATTACGGGACGCAGTATGGAACCGAGGTGAGATGAGCGTTTTCCTTCCTCTGGCGAGAATTGTGTGAGCGAGACGCCCGTGGGTCGTCACAGGCTGCGACTTCGCCATTCAAGTCAGGAGCCCTCGGAGGCGTCACTAGACCTGCCCGTTCCGAGTGAAGAATGAGGCTCTGTCTCGTTCACTATGTACGCTAGTTTAAAAGGAAACCTCCTCCTTAGCACATGCACCGCGAGGATATTGACATGCTTGCGGACGGACAAGCCATTGCTTCATGATCGGGTTCCAAGTTTGCACTGGCTTCAGTGAGAAAGGGGACAGCGTGCCAGACCGAAACAGAAACATGGCGGGATCGCTTTCGCTGTTGTAGACTACTTGCACACAGATGTACTGTAGTACAGACACCTATACGATCCTGGTGCGCGCGGCATCACGA